TGCAGGCCAGCGGGCTCTTCGGCCAGTACCTGCTGACGCCGTCCGCCGACTCGCTCTTCATCCTGGACGGCCGGCTGGGCAAGCTCAACTGCGAGATCACCGAGGTGGCCAAGGGCAACACGCTGGTGTGGGTGGGCGACGCCTAGCGCGTCGGCGCGCCCGGTAAGCCCGATGTCTCGGACCAGACGTCTGCAAACACAGCGGCTGGTTAGCGGCACTTAACAGGATGTCTAATGAGAAGTGACATCACTTAGAGATTCAGATGCCTAATTATGATTTACACCGATAAAGTAGTACTTCAGATGCTTTAAAAAGTAACTAACCTGCAGGGAATTTCGGAAATCCTGAGAGTCATTTAATTTTGAGGGGAGTGTCTAATTTTCACTCTGGTACCCTTAAGCCAGAAGTATAAGGTAGTATGGAACTTTAACATGCTTAACTCAAAATATCCTGTCCTGCTCACTGTTTATAATCTTTTGTGCCTTGAAGGGAGTGTCAAGGAGGAAAAGAAAGACTCGCAGCAATTCACTGAACACCCTCAAAGCTGTAAGTCTGCTGGCATTTAAGCTGCTTGGTGTCTCCCGTGTCACACCCACCTCCAGTCACCTGTTGGACGCTCTGTGAAATCCCATCTGAAGGCACAAGCTGGCCTGAGGCTGCATGCAGGTGACAAGCCGCATTTGACCTTTACTCTATAATCTGCAGCATGCTATAGAAAACAAGTAGGGAGGAAAAATAAATGTGAAAATTGCTCCGTGTATGGTCTCATCTTCCTTTCCATTCCTGGAGTGCATGAGATCTTTAGGCTGTTTTGTCAGGGATTCCAGCTGCACAGGGGTGCCTCCTTCACTGTCAGCAGAGTAGATTCTTTTCATGTAGCCCAGCTCTCCAGAGTCGGGGACTTCACTTCTAAAAAAGAAACATCAGCTGTGTCTGCTTAGGATAAATCAAAGGTAGGGAAAAATTAACACCGTGGAGAGAAAGCCCAAGAAGGGAGCTCCTGCCAGGGAAATTAGCGATAGGATTTGGAACCCGGGGATAGCCCCATGCTGGTGAAGAAGATGCTCTTCTGGGTTCCTTGTGCTATTTACATATAATGCCTCGAAAAGCTTCATTCTCAATAATGTCCACCAATGATTTCTTCTATTCAACTCCTCCATAATCCTAAAATGGTCTTTTCACTGTGTGCTGCAGTTGGAAACCTAGCTAATCCTCTTACCGGAGACACTGTAGAGAAGTACAAATTACTACTACTTCCATTTTTTAGGAGGAAAAGGGAAGGGAGAGGCTGTAACAGATTAGCACTAGAGAGTTGGTTTATTGAAATAAGCAGATAATTAGCCAGGCTTCAGGTAATAGCTTACTAGTTTAAGATTTCTTTTACTTCTTCTAATTGTTGCTAAAAATGCTAATGGGTTGTTGAAATGACCTCCATTTACTGAAGGTAATCCAATAAGGTCTTTTTAAAATACAAACTTTACTCCTTTAAATTGTGTAAAACTGGACAGAAACCTGAAATTTTATACTGTGTAATATCTGGTATGTGCGTAGCATCCTGAGCTGTGATGCCGGGACTTCTTAGCTTCAGAAACATGCGAGGCACATTTAACAAACAATTAACATCAGCTTATCCTTCCACTTCTTGAATCTGCTTTACTTTCTAGTAACATTCTCCTGTGCAGACATGAACCAGAGCAAGCATCTGTGACTTAGCTTAACACGCTTGTCCCATGCATTCTCACGACTTACGCCGCGTGGCTACCCTGTTGTAGATATTGCTCGATAAAAGAATAAACCTCTTACATTTTAACTCTTGTGCTCTTAGTCATTTGTGTGCATTTGTGCATCTGTGATTGTAAGCTAACCTGATGTTATTTTGAAAGCCATGTGATTAAATCAAAGTAGCAAAAGTTTTCTCTTTATAGAAACCTGAATTGCTTTATCTTTTCATTATTCAGAGAAGCATACATCCTGTGATGGCTATTTCTTTAGAACTTGCATATAAAGAGAATAACACCAGAATGGAATATGGAAAGTGTACCCCAAAGCTGGTGCTTTGCTTTCAGTATCCTTACACACTGCACAGCACACTGAGCATGTCCTGTTTTATTTTCTTTCAGTGCTTAGGCCTGCATGAGCCTCATGCTGGCTGGGCAGTTGCTCCACCCCAGCCACACCCTTAGCCTGAGACAGTGTACTAAAAAAGAACAGTAGCAAATTCTGGCTTGAGAGCCTAAGTGGCCGCAGTACTGACGCCACGGGTCTGTGTCTTCCAAGAGTGCAGGTCAGAGGCGCGCTGGAGTTCACCTCACTGAAGCGTGCTGCACACGTGGTCATCAGTGAAGAGAAGCCTGTGTCAGGTGCTGAGCAGCCCACGTTAGCAGAAGTAGCATGGGGGAGCCGGTCTTTAATTGGCAGGAGGAAAATGCAGAGGCAGGAAGCCAGCGGAGGCAGGAAGGGCAAGGGAGCGCGCCGTGCGTGTCAGCTGGAGGAGCCAGAGGCCGCGGGAGGGAGGGAGGGAGGGAGGGAGGGAGGAAGGGCGGGGCCGCGGGGGGTCGGGAGAAGTAAGCCCTGGGGGTGGAACCAGCTTAGAGGTTTGATTTTAAGCGGAGCCCCCAAATACTTTTTTAAAATAAGTGTTGGTAAAAATGGCATTTTGAAACTTCATTATTGTTTAATGGAATAAAAATTTAGCTGAATAAAGGAATCAGAGGGAGAGGTAAGGGGCAGCTGCTGCAAAAGCATGTTTCTGGTCTCTAAGCAATGAAGTGCCTATTAAAAAGTAAGACCTGTCCAGGAACTGGACCCTAGCTGGCAAGTCCATAAGAAGAGACTAAAGTGGCAGGCCTCACATACAGCACCACCAATGGCGACGAGGTGGCCACAGAGGAGCCAGACTCAGGGGAGACTGAGGATTCACAACGCAGAAGTGAGACCAGAGGTCATGCTTTCACAGGTGTCATGCCGCGCCCCACCAATCAGGTGCTGTTCTGGAATCATCCCAGCTGCTTAATTACATCAGTGTTAGCTTGAAACTGAGAAAATTGCAAATTGGGGCCGTATCAGGTTTCAGAGTCCCTCTCGGAAGTTCTCAGCATTTTTTTATAAAATAAACTAATTCATCTGAATTTTATACCCACTAAGTTAATATTTTACAGGGAGAAACACTGCTTAGTCTTATCTGACCACTTACCACATGACAGTTTTAAAGTGAGAACAATGTTAGGAACCATTTCCTGTTCATGGAAACTGTGTGACTCTGAGATGAAACCCAGTGTTTCAGCCCCAGGAGCTCACAAGGGACCACTGTGATGTCACTGGTCTGCACACTCACCATCAGATGCTCCTGTGTGAGAGGAAAACAGCAGGTAAGCATCCACCAAGAGCTCCTTTTTCTTCGCACCATACTGTGGCTAATACGTTACCTCTCTCAGCAGATTTCCTAGTCTGAAATACCACATGGAAGTCAGGCTGTGTAAATTCTCCCTGAGGTAAGTCATGGTCATTGTCTTCACCTTTCTGTTACAAAACCCGACCCACATGACATGATTTTTGTTTGCATTTAGTAAGTTATACAGTAGTTTTAGTAAATTAAAAAAGATGACTTAAGCGACAGCCAACAGTGAGTGAATGTGGCATAGTTGTTTTGTGGTACTTTACAGCTAAGTTGGCCAAACGGGAGTTGCGGCCATCATTTGCTTACTAGAGTGTACTCTTCTCAGTTATTTTTCTCTCATTGCTGGGAAAAAATACCTGACACCCAAACTTAAGGAAGGAACAGTTTAGTTAGCTCACAGTTTGTGGAAGTTTTGTCCACACTTGGCTGGCTCCAAGGCAGAGTGGCACAGGGTGGAGAGCAGCTTTTCACAGTGTGGTGGGAAACAGTGAAACAGAAGAGCAGAAGGGAGAAGCCGAGGCAGTGTGGCACAGGAGGCAAACTGCTCTCTGTTATGGGTCGGCTCTGCGTAGGAACCAGATCAGCCAGATAGAAATTTGAATAGAGCCTTTATTTACCGAGCTCAGGTCCGTCAGCCACTTCTCTCGCAGAAGGCTGATCGGCCCGAACATAGGTAGCAGGGGGGTATTTATAACAGAAATCACATCCAGTTTGGTAAGCAGACTTGTTACCTAGTACAGAACAACAGAAACTGCATTCATTTGACACAGCTGCAAACTGTTCATAACTAAAAGGTCTTTCACAGCTTAGTGATAAGTGTATATTTTTACAAAATACATCTTAAGCTGACTATGTTACAGGAGATGGTTGGGGAGGGAGTTTGTGTTAGCTTGCTGCCTTGACAAGAAACTGTTATTTATTGTTGAACAGCCTTGAGCCGAAAAGGAGAACACATTTCTTAGAGCAGATAACAGGAAGCACAAGGGGTTTTTATAATTTTCCACAATTAAGGCACAAAACTCTATTAACCCTTCACACTCTCCTTCCTTACACTGCATTCAGGCTGCCAGGCGGAGCAGCGCTCACACCTCTCCCTGCAGCTCTGAGTCATGAATTAATCATGAATGCTAGAAGCTGCCCCATGACTGTGTGGGCTTTGGGGGGACAGCTGGACATGAGCCACAATAGTAATAGTGAGAAGACTGCCAACATTTTGGGATGTATTCAAATTTAGAACTACATTTTCGTTGAGCATATGTTAGCAGAAATTGAGAAAAAAACACACAGAGAACTTAAATGTATAATGTATTCTGCTTAAATGGTAAATAGCATAAAAATTACCTCCAAATTCACATTTTGACATTTCAAAACAACAGTTTTTGGGGGATTGCTGGGACTCAAACTCAGGACCTCACACCTTCCAGAGGGCTCAAAAAATGCTTTAACAAAAACCAACACCATCCCAAACAATGTATTGCCATTTCAACAAGAAAAAATGTACTTGGTGTTCATGCCCCTGATTTATGTACACACCCACAGAAAGTGCAGAGTTCCTTCACATTTGAATTGAGCAGCTTATTTAAAGTGACAAAGTGTGAGTGAGAAGTCACATGGACAGTTAAGGCAGATAAGATAAAATTGGTAGACTCTAAAATTGCTTAATATAGATTTACTCTATGATACCTGGGGTCATGTCTGCTCTCAGAGTGGTCTTGGCCCTAAGACAGTTTCGGTAATCTGTTCAGAATG